TTAGATGTTAAAGGATCATATCCTGCGCCCCCAGAAGCAAAATTTACGCCTGTTACAAGATCTTGAGCTTGCAGTGACAGGTCGAGGTATGCAGGCAGAAGAGCTTTAATTCCAAATTCTTCAGCTGAAATAAAGCGCCAACGAAACTTAGGTTAGCATTGAGGAGAAAGCACTTCAAACAGAGTCATGCACAAGTGCATGTGCAAGCGCAAGCGCAAGCATGGCTGGAAAATGGAATAGCTCCATTCTCTTGATATTTCCATGAATAGATTCAGTGGATTATAATATGTGGCTATGAACCATGGTGTCACGGATTCAAATCCCTCCTTGCTCACAACTGACTCAAAAGGGGACTAATAGCTAGATCTACTAGAAGATTTAAAGCAACTAGATTCCCAAGAAAGAAAGATGCATATTACCTATAAAGTCGGGGGGGACTTTTCCATTGGAAAATCTTCCGGTTGGCTTTCCTCCCATAAAATCTTGTCCATATGGAGGATGATTAGCGTTAGCCGTTGTGAGGAGGAAGTTGTTGTTACCAGTATCAACTACGGAATCTCCAAATACAAAAAGTGCTGGAATTGTGCTATTTTTTGGTAGTGTTATCACGGATTCACCAATACAAACAAGAAATAAAAGAGAAACATTTAACCGTATGAAAAAGGGAAATAGTTTTAAGCAGAAGAACTGCATTGTTATTGAACACTACCGAGCAGAGCCCTTCTCCAAGAAACTTGTAGGCTAAGTTGTATCATTATGCACCTGCATTTTCAACTTTATATACACTTAAATTTTACTTTCTCTTTCTTGATTTCATTATTTCCAGTGTAGATAAGGGACCAACCACACATGGTCCATTATGTTCTCTCATTAACAAAGTACCGTACAATTATGGACGATCTAATAGTTGTTTTTTTTCCCTTTTAATTGCACGTATGTCATGTTGGCCTCGTACTTTCTACTGTCAAGTGCATAAATCGCGTGTGTTGGCAACCTTTAAAGAATTTTACTTTAAAAATTTCTGCCAGTTAAATATACTCTTTACAATATATATGAACCTCAAATTGCTTCTATTTTTGTTATCAAATTCAAATTTGGGTTGCTAATTATATCAGATGATAAGTTAGGCTAACAAAATGAGCATTTTGGTAGTTATTGAATAGCAGAATGGGTTTTCTCAGAAGAAATTCTTTATGTGTTGCTTGAGGATCTGATGTGTTATAAGCCCCTGTATGCTTTTTTGGTGAAATGGAAACTGTCCCAGAAAACATACTCTGATACGTTTGAATAAGCATATTTGCAGAGAAGTAATACTTATATTATTCCTGCGCCACAACACCCGAGATTCGCTTAAGAATGAATGATGTATGAAATGTTGGTTTACTTAGTCCATGTTCGAAACTCGTTCTATAAAAGCTCATTTTTCTTCAAACTCATTTTCCATCACATTCTCTCAATAATTTTCTCTACTTTTTAACCACGCATTCTCCAAAAACTCAATATTACAAACCCATTCAACATAAAAATAGGGCTCAAACACGCCTTAAATAAGAAATGAGAATTACGTTGAGACTTTATGTGGGAGGGAGCGGAGAAAAGGGGGAACGGAGAGAGAAATATCCTTTTTATTAAAAGTAAATTAGGCAATTGACATGAAGAGAAGACTTTTAAGCGAAAAGTTTTGTAGTTGTTAGGGATTTTAAATAAATTTGCATAAAAGTAAGTAGAAGCTATTATTATCGCAAGAGTGCTAGCAGCAAAAAATACTTAATGCTCGATAAAGCCGACAAGTAGGGAAGTAGCTAAATTACTAAAAAGCTGTTGGCTTTATTCATGATACAGTACAATGCAGAGGCGAAATCTTTACTTAAATATAGTGTTTTTTTTTTTTTTTTTTTTTTGGTTAATTACCAGCCTTTAGATCTTCGATAAAATTGATATCTTGACTTGCCCCATCTAATGGACGTTCTTTTCTTTATTTTGCAACAAACCTCGATATTCTTCTAAACATTTCTTGATGGAAAAAACTGGACTTTATAAATATTTTTTCGGGTTGTGGAAGAGATCAAGTGGAAAAGAGTAAATATTGAGGTATATCATCCGTGCTTCGTGGAGTTCTGTTAATCGAGTTCAACCCATCTGAAAGCTTCTTGTTGAATAACTGTGACTCTTTATTATAAGAATCTACACATTTTCTTGTTACACCTCCTCTTAAGTTCTTTGTGATGGAACACATCCAAGTAGTGGTAAGCCAAATTCTACATGACCGCAATTTGTACTAGTCCTCCGGTTGGCTTCCTCCCATAAGATCTTGTCCATGTCGAGGATAATTGGCTTTAGATATTGTGTTGTAGTTGTTGTTACCAGTATCAACTATGGAATCTCCAAATACAAAATGTGCTATAATAATAATAATAATAATAATAATAATAATAATAATAATAATAATAATATCATCATCATCATCACTGATTCCCCAATATAAACAAGAAATGAAACAGAAACACATAGCAATACCAAAAAGGGAAACAATTTAAAGCAGAAGAGCTGCATTGTTATTGAACACAACTGAGCAGAGAGCCCTTCTCCAAGGAACTCATAGGCCAAGTTATATCTTTATACACCGGGTTTTTCGATTTATTTCCACTAAGTTTTCTTTTTTTCATTTTAATCTTGAATTTATTACTTCCAATGTAGATATGGGACCAACAACACATTGTCCATTAACTCATTATTAAATATTATGTTCGTCGATGTTTAACAAAAGTACAATTATGGATGGTATAATAGCCGCCTTTTTTTCCCGTTAATTGTGCATAAGTCATGTTGGACTCGTACTTTCTGCAGTTTGGTGCGTGACTCATTTGTGTTTGCATCTTTTTTCAACCTCTAAAGAATTTCACTTAAAAAATTTCTGCCAGTTAAATGTGCAACACGTTTAGACCTCAAAATTGCTTCATTTTTGGTAATAAAAGTATATAACAAGTTTGGGTTGCTATTTAGATCAAATAATATGTTATGCAATCAGAATGAGCAGCTTGGTACTAGGTCAGTGATTAGTGTATTTTTACACACTTATTCGAGCCACAAAACATGACTATTTTTTGATAAATATAGTGAAATATGTCTTAATTCTATTAAATCTTGTTTTGTAGGACAATCTTGATGGATATGATGGAATTCAATAGAAAATATGAGAAAAGGGGAGAAAATGGAAGAAAATCAAAGTTCAAGGACCAAAATGCAAACAGCCAAAAGATGACTAGAAAGCATAAACAAGGATGTGAAAGAGTTAAAAAATCAATTTGGTGAGAACATGGAGTATTTGAAGATGAAGAAATGAAAATAGAGGTTAAAAAAAGAGAAACTGGAGTTCTGGGACTAAATTGCAACTTTTGGAAAGTTTTCAATACTATGCAGTCGCATATTATAAAGCTCCATGCAGTCGCATGCCTATATTCAGCGATTTTCAGGGCCAAAATCAATTGAACTATGCAGTCGTATTGAATTGTACTATGTAGTCGCATAGTACAAACTCGGCGGGAAAAATCTGATTTCCTCATTTGATTAAAATTCTTATGGAAATAACTCGTGGCACAGATAAAAAAATAAAAATAAAAAAAACTTTAGGGTCGTCAAATTAGAGGGGGAATGCATTGGGAGGAAAAAAAACCTCTTAGAGTAAATTTTGAGTCACAACAACGAAGGATTTCATGGAGATCGACGGAATTTCACTCGATTTATTGATCTGGTGATGTTATTTCTTTCAAATATCATGTATGTTGTTAATTTCTCCATGTTAGGCTAGAAATTTATGTACTAGGAGATCGATGAACCTTGTAATGTGATCTTTAATTCCTTATTTCATATTTTTGACATTAAACCACGTTTGATTATTTTGAATAGTTTATATACATTTAATTTCTTCTGCAATTAAGGGCCCATAATTGTGTGAGTTTGGTGACTTGTTTCTTGCATTTTAGAGAAGAGAAATAGGTTCGACACGACATAAATCATCGTAGGATCCGATAAGGGATAGAGATATATCGCTATATCTTGCGTGAATCTCTAAGTGCTCAACAAACCATTGCATTCTTGTATATTTGTAGCCATCATAAAAATATACACTGGTGGTATATGAGAATAGGTTCAACGCTGCTCGAAAAAGAGTGTTGGATAGATTTAGGAGCATTAATTCTTCAAAATTTCATCGTGGTGTCAATTTGTGAAATTATGGTTAAACTGAATATTACTTGGGAATTCATTATCCTAATACGTTATATAATCACTGAATACATAAGATTGCATTCTCAACATTAAATAGCATTTTAGCTCATTTAAACATCACATTACACTTTGTTCATTGCATGCATAATTA